TCTCGGTCTGTAAGCGGCACGTAGGGCAACCCGATCGGGCAGGGAAACAGATTTTTGTATGTTTGGGGCAGTTCTTATAATTCCTAAACGGTCTTCAAGCGGCACGTAGGGCATAAACTTTCTTTTTGAATAGTTATTCTCGTTCTGTAAGCGGCACGTAGGGCAACCCGATCGGGCAGGGAAACTGATTTTTGTATGTTTGGGCAGTCCTTATAATTCTTAAACGGTCTTCAAGCGTCACGTAGGAAATAAACTTTCATTTTGAATAGTTACTCTCGGTCTGTAAGCGGCACGTAGGGCAACCCGATCGGGCAAGGAAACAGATTTTTGTATGTTTGGGGCAGTTCTTATAATTCCTAAACGGTCTTCAAGCGGCACGTAAGGCATAAACTTTCTTTCTGAATAGTTACTATCGGTCTGTAAGCGGCACGTAGGGCAACCCGATCGGGCAGGGAAACTGATTTTTGTATGTTTGGGCAGTCCTTATAATTCTTAAACGGTCTTCAAGCGTCACGTAGGGAATAAACTTTCATTTTGAATAGTTACTCTCGGTCTGTAAGCGGCACGTAGGGCAACCCGATCGGGCAGGGAAACTGATTTTTGTATGTTTGGGCAGTCCTTATAATTCTTAAACGGTCTTCAAGCGTCACGTAAGGAATAAATTTTCATTTTGAATAGTTACTATCGGTCTGTAAGGGCACGTAGGGCGACCCGATCGGGCAGGGAAACAGATTTTTGTATGTTATGGTAGTTGTTGTAATTTTTTAACGGTCTTCAAGCGGCACGTAGGGCATGACCTGTCTTTCAGATAGATAATTGGTTTGTAAACGGCACGTAGGGCAATTTGATCGGACAGGGAAAGAAATTTTTTACACGTTTGTGCAGTTCTTATGATTGACGGTTTTTGGGTGGCTCCCTTTTGTAGTAAAGCTTCATATTTCTCTGGCGAAAATTGAAGGATTCTTTGACAAAGTTCTTAGACGACTGATTTCGTTGCTGTCGGAACTGATTCTGAGAGAAAAGTGTTTTTTGTAATACACATAATTCCTATGGTGTATTTCTACTTCCAAAACGATATGTTCTGCTACTTACTTAACGATCTTCAAAGGAACTTGATGAGAAGAACTGAAAGAGCAAATTCTCTTTGAGAGGGTAGAAAAGTGGGAGGGGGGTTATCTGAATGTCTGTGTGAGGAGGGAATTTGCATAAAAAGCGTGTAAACGAGATAAAAATAATATCATGCATGGATCAGAAATTTCGAGAAATGAATGATTTGTGGAGATTATTGCTTCTTCGAGCAGTTTTCCTTTTGTGGAATGCTCTTCGCAAAAATGTTCTCAGCAACAGGAAATTTATTTAGAAATATTTTTAGTCAAACCTAAGCCCTATATGTATCTGCCCCGACCCACTTGCTAGCGACCCGTAGGGTCGCTAGTGAATTATATCAACTGAAGTGGATTGCTCAGTATTCTTGAATTTTCCCAACTCGTTATTCCATTCCATTTCCTATGTACGATTCAAGGTCTAGACAAATTACAGTACAAATCTCAGTGTCAGACTAGAAATGATGTCCGCCTATTTCAATTGATATCCTTTCCATCCATCTTTTCGCGACCACATACAGCATAGCCAAATCTTCAGAATTTCCCCTACATACCCGAACAACGCAGAATCACTTTGGGAGGTTTTTGAGCAGTACATTACTTGCGTTATCTCTCAATTTGTAAGTGCATTTTTCTTCCTCTGACGTATGATTTTTAGGTAAAGTCTATCGGCATTCTTTGAGGTGATCTGACATCCGTTGATGCAGGTTACGCAAAAGCGTGGAAATAAGGGGGAAGGCGAGGGAGAGGGTAAAGTGGGATGGGGGGGGGGGACGTAGAAGAGGACCCCAGACCACATCAGCACGCCTGACCCCGTTCCCAATATTCGGAAAGAAGATAACGATGTTCCACAGATGTTCCACCCAAGTGGAATGGTGAGTTTCGAACATGGTTATCTTCATTTCAAAGGTAAACTATCCATCTCTTTTTGCACTCAGTACAAAGTATTCCTTCCTTGCCTATATGAGAAATTCGACTTCAAATAGCCTCCAAGCTGTGGAATTAGAAGCCAGTTAAAATCTCACTTGTCCCATTCTGTCAAAGGTTGTGCAACCGTTATTCAGAACAAAAGCTATTACGTGCATTGCGGAATGTATATAAAATACTACTCCAAATTGCACCATGTAAAAAGTGTTAAGAACTTTTGTATTTTAAAACCTGTCCCCGAATTTGTTGGTTTCTAGACCAACACCAAACCGACTGGGATAGTTCGGAGTATAAATATCGGAGAGTTATGAGTTCTAGACCTTTCTGAGTTGGACGATTAGAACGTTAAAAAAATCTATCAAGTGAAGAGAGCAAATCAAACCATTCCTTTCCCTCTTTTTTAGGCCAAGAACAGCATTAACATTGATAGAAATCGAGCTCCGATCACAAACGTGTCAATGTGTCCTTGTATAAGTGGCGACAATGCAGTCAAGTTGCTGTAGGCTACAACTTGGTTGATTGTTGGCCTAAAGAGTTTTCGATATAGTGAAAACCAGAATGGTACATATCATCACTTTATATAAATAAAACTCGATCTCTGTAAATTTGTTCGTATGTAAGTATGTGGCTTATAGATTCCTTTATTTGTGAACCGATGAGGCTGAAGTTTGCTCCCCTATTAACGAGGCCAGGCGCAGAAGATAGGCTACTTTTCGAGACGATTCACTGGGTCTTTCCATCGATTCATTGATTTGTTTACTTACATGTAGGAAAATGAAAGCTATGTCATTCATTTCTCCAAGTTAAGCAATAAGGGGCGGTAGAGATAATTTACATTTTACGGTGAGGAGGATGCGGTGTCACGAAGCGAGCCGGTCAAGAAGGACAGATTCACCAGGGATACTACACATTTGCTGGAACTTGCTTGGAGATGAAGCAGGAGAGGAAGATAAAATATGATAAGGAAGTGGAGGAATGGTAAGCAAACATCTTGAAGCAGACGGGCAATTTTGAATCCTTGGCCCGGGCGGGACCGGAGACCGCAGCTAGTAACTTATAATAACGGGCTAAGGGTTGTTTACGTTTGTGTGTGTGTGTGTGTGAATCTCTGTCTGTCACGAAATTCGTAGAACGAGTTCCAGCAAAGGTCTTGAGCTAGGATTTTGTAGTAGCACCCTATCAGCATGTAGATAAAATATGCAAAAGCACAAGCCGATCCAGTTATTGTAATCTGTGAAATTGTGCGCCAAACGGATCTACGCGATATTTCGCGCGCCAAAATGGGCCTGTAATTGGACTTCTTTCAAAGTCATGGTTTCGTTTAGCAAGTAATTCCGCAAACCATGGACCCTAGCCCATAGAAAAGTGAGCAAAAAGTTTACTTTCGCGCAAGATCGGCGCCAAAAGGAATAATTGCGTAGATGATCGTTTTGTCAAGGTTTTTTCTGGGAATGCGGGACAATTTTCGCTCAGAGATGTAACTCACGGTTGTCGTCATCTTTATGGCGAGTATCAAGTCATTGTAACCCCAGTAACTGATTCAGAATCGCATTTAATCTTTTGGAGAATACTTTTTCCCTTAAAGTCACCGATCTTACATGAAAAAGCTTTTGGAATGAGTAGCTGTTTACGTTTCATTTGTGATGATTGGCATCGCGAGTAAGTTTCAAAGCCATCATTTCGCGACTACGAGGTTGGTATGTGGATAGTACAGCCAGTGCGAGCGTCTGCGAAGCAGAGGTGTCGCACTGGTTTTCAATAACGGCCTTTAATCGACTAAAAAGGCGTTTTTTTCTTTTATTGTATTGAATACTTTAAAAAAATGCTTTTTTCGCTTTTATGTTGTTGTGCTGATCAAATAAAAGTTCTCCCACTAATTTTGACGTATAGGACTTCATAAAATTCTGCATAGTTATGGAAGACTTTGCTTTCAAAAGTACTGCAAATCAACGCAGGGTTTCTCCGAGCTGAAATAAATTCAGAAGTGAGGAAAGAAAGATGCAAAGCAACTCACTCAACCGCCATACTTACTTAAAAATGACATAAAAAAATCTTCTTCATTTCATGAGTGTTTACGCAACCCCAAATCGTATTCTAGTCAGTTTAATTTCATATGGGCCTTGGAATAGAACACTTTAGACTCAAATCATAGTTTCGAATTGGACCCCGCATTACTATTTGCAGAAAGAAAAAACTATTTTTGATATATAAGAAATGTTTGCCACTGAGGAACGATGTTCTACTTTCAGCCCAGGAAATCTGCGACCAAAACTATTTGATGGTCTTCCCGAACCATGTCAAAAACGCGCTGAGTCCGCTACCTTGAAAATCTGTTACTGAAGACAACGAAAAGCTGAAAGGGTAATGAACAGGTTATCTAATAGATTGTGACAACTGTAAGAAAAATTTGCAGGCATTTGGGAGTAGTGAGCCTCGGAAATTCTAGATGTAGCATTTTGTAAAATTTACATGGCGACTATTCCCAAAGGAATCAGTTTGGACCGCCTAGCTGTTGCTTCTAGGAGAACTCGTACACAGCACGAGTTTTGTGAACAAATTATTTTATCATTAAGCTTTTTAGCATCCACAGACTGTTCTAAAGCCTTCACCATTTTGTCAGTATGTCCGCACTAGCAATTATCCTTTACAATGAAAACAATTTGCTACCTCTAAAAAAGATCAATCTACGGCGAAATGTATTTCACTATAAATGATGCAGAAGGGATTTTCCCCATATCTAAATTCAATACAGTGCTACTACCAAAACACAACTGTTTTACAGATGCAAATGGCCTGGAATATTCTGAAAGATTCGTAATTCTTCGTTTTGTTTTCATTGAATAAGGGACTGCGAAAATTTTAGTTGAAGCGGTGAGTAAGGATCTGGTATTGTTTGTCGGTGTGTATAAAATGGGTCGTTGCATACTAACATCAATTCATCTTCTTTTCTCTTCTATGATGAGAGCAGAGGAAAAGTGTCGCCTCAATCTAGGAAATCCTCAACCTTGCTTTGCAAGAAATCCTAAATCAATACTTTGCAAAATTGTAGAAGTTGAGGAAGACATGTATTATTTGATTATATTCTACTTTTTTATATCTAATTGCAGAAGCCTATAAACACAGCAAAACGGTTTGCAATGCTTCCTGCACTATTGGTAATTTTGTTATAAAAAGTAAAAACGTTTTGTGAAAAATGTTTTTAGCTCTGTTTAATTGCAATCCAAGGAGCGATAGCGGGTGAGTAAAAAAGTATCTAAACATAAATCCTTTCTTCAAAATATAGAGCTCAACTTTCTTTCCATTGTAGCCACATGCAAACTTCCCGCTGCACTGATAGAGGCAGCCACGACGGCTCACAATGACCTCAGAGCACAAGTCGCTAAACGCGCTTTGGATAAGGAGATATATGGAGAACTGCCAGGAACAAAGAGCCTTTTCAAACTGGTGTGTCAAGTCTATCAATGTTTATGATAAACGCAGTCAAATGAGGGACAAATAGAAACACCTCTCACTTCCCTTTTATTTTTGATTGCAGCCTAGATAGCTGTGGAGCCTTAGCAGACATACCCTTGTGCGGACTTTTCTGACTTTATAAGAGTTTACAGGAGTATGATTGTACTAATGAAGGATTTGCACAGTCAACCATTGGAAAAGATTGCAAACATTCATCGATCTACATGAGCGTGATAGGAAGAGGAGAAAACTTTATAACGTAAGCATGCATTGGTCCACATGTGATTATTGGTCGAGAAAAACATCAAGGTTTTACGACTCACTTAGTACTTTTCAGATACAGAGCAGAAAGTAAGCCTGGTAACAAAAAGCTTGCTGAGATGCTCAAGTGGGCCGTCGAAGATTGGAGTGACACTGTTGAAAGTCCTTTGAGCTCGGATGTCATGTACACAGACACGTCTATAGAACCTTTTGCTAATGTAGGTCTCTATAATAATTTTGATACCGTGACCAAACTCACTTGAAGGAAGGACATTTTGATCTTTATGAGAAGCTTAACTTTTAGATGATCTATAACAAGACGATGAAGTTCGGGTGCTCCTACCAATCCTGTGAGACCAACGGCAAAGTTGCTATCGCGTGTGTATACGAGAACAAGTAAGCTGACAAACATAGTCTGTACCAAGCACTTGCTCAAAACTGGCAAGCATACCACATTCAACCGGCAGCAGAAGGGTTTTATGTCAATCTCATGATCTGGCTACACGTACCTTTACTTATACATGCAGTTCCCAGTCATTTTTGTTGAAGGCGGCGTTGCATTAGGCCTCGGAGTTCACGCAATTTGGTCGTCGCGATTCAATCGCTACAAGACAAGTGTTACGAGTTCATTGTGAACCGATCTTCTTGTATTTCGGTCGTGATAGTTAGTCACGATTGGTCGTGTTGGAAAACTATAACAACCGAAATGCAAGAAGATCGGCACGTAATGAACTAGTAACATTTTTCTGTAGCAATTGAATTAAGACGATCAAATCGCGTGAACTCTGCCCGAGGCCTTAAGCAGACTATTTTTTTTAAACCTTACATTAGACTTCCTTAGTCATTCTGTTAATAAAATCTATTATCTATAATAACCAACACACCTTTTGTCTTCATTCACACAAACTTTTCTAGGCCGCAGCTGAATGAGCCACTGTATTCGGCAGACTCGACGGGCAAGAAAGGCTGTACTAAGAATAGTCCGTGTAACAAAGTAATCAAAGGCGCTGTTTGTGAAACAGCTGGTGACGCTGTTGGCCCTCTTTGCCAGAGAGAACCTTCCAGTAAGAGTTTTTGCATACTGTTCGAAAACTTCATATTGTACAAATATTTACACTTTCCATTCAGCCACAACAACCGCTCCAACAACAACAACGGAACAATCAAGTAAGTACAGACCAATGAGGTTTGGGTACTGATATCGCAAAAGCTCCAGAATGATAATTAATGTATATCAATCTAAGGTACATGGGTATGACGGCATCAAATAATTGACAGAGGTATCAAATCTGCATGCGTGTAGAAATGAAACAGATGTCATAATTAACATTAGCTTGAAAATTCTTGGTATATTCTATCGATCTAGTAATTTTTTTGCTCTTCGTATTGAAGGCTAATTTGGCAGATGAATATAGGAGAGGGGTCTAATATCATTAATTTCGCTTTCTGCTTGAGGAGCTCAGACTCACACTGGGCTAAGCCTCATTATACATCTAACATCCTATAGAGAGAAATAGTTTTGGCTAAGTCCATTCACAGGGCTAAACATGGCTGTCAGACAGAAGTTTCGCTAGCCTTATAACAAAGCACCGTAGTCATTTCTGCCTTTTATACCAAGTAACGGCAGTGCTGCGGCTAGGTCATTCATAATATATTTGATTCCAGTTATTATCTGGACTTGGATACCATACTACTGAGACCCCTTACTGAAGCAGCAATAGTAAGCCAGATTTATTTTCTAATCATTTCTTGAAAAATCTAGGATCATATAATATCAAACTCTATTTTCAGAGTCATCAAAGAAGAAAATCCAACTAATTTAGTCGTTCCTGCCCGCATCATATCTATTTTGAAATATGAATGTGTTCTCTGATAAAAATTTGAAGCAACTTGTTGCATTGGTGATTCATACAATATGCCGCATCTTTGTCTGAGTCCAAGCAAACAACTGGACCAATCATTATTTTTTGACTGATGTTGAGAGCGTTCAGATTTTGGCTTTAGCTACCAACTTTTACCCTTTCAGTACCTTGCTTATCAAGCGTTACAGTGGTGCGCTTGGGCGTTAGATAGTGCGCCTTTACCTGGGCGAAGTAAAGTAATTGGGTGAAAATGAGTAACAAATGTCTACCAAACGGCAATCTCTTCCTACACTTTTCAAAATTTCGGCACGTATCAGCGCATCTTGAGAAGCCTGTGCTATAGCCTGCAGGGTACTGTCATATTCTTCGGTAAGTGAAGACAAAACTGTGTGAGCGGAAGGAGAAAGATGCTGAGATCGCGTTTTCGGTCAACACTTTTGACATATGGTGTCCTTTCACACCCGCTTTTGCGTCTTTCAACACTCTTTCGCCTGTTTCAGAAATCCACGCTTCTATGTTCTCCTAAAAGCTGTTTACTGGCAAGAAAAGCCAACCTATTTGCTGTTTTATTGCCCTTCCAAAAAAGGCTTAGTACGCTGATAACAATCGTGCTGTTCCAACTGCGGAGCATTATTCTGAGCATTCACCCTTTATTTGCTAAATGGCTTATACTCACATGGAAAGATCGCATGTAGAAGGAAGTTTGCCCGTAAGTGCTGAAACAACATCAAAACGGTCTTTTATCAAATGTAACGCAATTTTTTTAGCACCTAGATGATGAACCGTGGCCAGTAAGCCGATGCATGCAAATTTCGCACACAAAAAATTCATTAACTCGCTTTAAAATAGTTCATTAGCTCAATAGCCGCAGCTAGGAACAGCATACTCAAAATCAGCTTTTCAAGCTGCTTCCAAACATAGTATGCCTCTTTTCGAAAGGCTTGTCTAAGTAAGCGTCTTTCACTGCAAATTGGTGAGGGGGAGGGGGGGGGGGGATGAAAAACAATTCTTTATTGCCATTCACTGTATCGAGCGCCCCTGCTCGCTATCACTTGCAGCAGATGAATTATTCACATTCAGGCCCACCTCAAGATCCTATTCTGGCGGTAGTCTTCGAGATCCGTACAAGTTCCTTGCACGTGTAGTTGAGGGGCTCTCTCTGCAAAGGTACAAAGAAAGATTTTACTCTTTAATCACTCGTAATTTTATGGAAGCGTCTCTATGTGACCGTCACAAGCGACTTCGTTCATCCTTTTGACGCGAAAGAGATCTTTTCAACCTTTCGACTAAGTCATACTTTGCTTGGAGATGTGATGTGCATCATTGCAGAACCTGGAACTACTGAAGCAATGCATCAATTTCGGCCAGTAAAAGTGAGTGTTTCCGAGTGAGCGTTTCATCAAGCGATTCCGATGTCAATCGAGCAAGAACCCTTCATTTTCAAGACCAACATCACTGCAGACGATCCAACAACTTCAAACAACCAGACAAAGTCTGAGCTAGAACGCTGGGAGTTGGTTTAGGGAACTGAGCATGCTGGCCACGAATGCAGTATTCATCCACAAGTTTGTCCATCGCATTCATTGATTCGATAAATTGCAAACGAGCTGCATCTTAATTTGGATTGAAGAGCATCTTGCAAATAAACACAGTGTTGGTGGAGAACTGCCTACGACAATTAGAGAGAGTACGAAGATTTTGCATAAAAATGCGACGAAATGTTTTTTGTGGTATGTTGTCAGAGATCAAGCGAAGAGAACATGCTTGATATTCATTTATGAGCGATGTCGGTAAGCATGTACTATGTTTGTATGGTCCAGGTCAAAAATCTTTTTGGAAATCCGCACCGAACTTCGCACACATATGATTAGTAACGGGACGGGTAAAGTAGGTTACCTTCCATTGATTGGCTAAATTTGTTAACACATTGACGACCATGCAGATTTTTAGCTGTCTGCCTTCTGGGACCTAGTCCCAGAAGGCTGACCCGGCTCCGTCCGGCCCTGTCAAACATTATGATAAAACTCCTATCCCTATCCCTGCACAGCTTTTCCCTGTGCCCAATTCTACATACCAACTCCCTGTCTCCGCTGTGTTAGTCATCAGCATGCTCACTTATCCCTGTGCCAATTCCGGAGGTCCTAACATGCAGACTAATTGAGGAATTCAACCTTCAAAAACTGATTTGAAAAAGGCTTGAACTTATTTTTGGTCCTGACCGTAATGCTCACGTGAGTCACAAATCAACATACAATACAGGCTGTTTTCACCATCTAGCAGCTAAATAGCGGCAAAAGAATCAGGAAAGGTACCACTCGGTAAGTATTAGGTACCCGAAAGTTTTGTCTGTTTTTTTATCGCTCGCTAAAACTCACAGAACACCAATCCATGGACGACCTAGGTATCATTTGATTCAGATTTTTATCTTCTTTCATAGAGCTATATTTGCTCTCTGATCACCCTGTCTTTGCAATATTATCGCCATGGCTTTTTTGAGCAGCTCAGCAGTAACGCCAAATCTTTCCTGAATTTTAAAATATTTTTATCGTGTTGTTTTTGAGGAATGCTGGTAATCGTTATGTAGAGCAAACCTTTGGCTACATTGTGCCCAACTTAGATTACATGGTCACGTTTACCAAGTCCGTTATAATTATTTATTTGTTTTACCACATAAAAGTACCGAAAATTCTAAAAACCCGCTTTTTCTAGGCAAATCAAACTTGGATATGTCGCATAAATTATGTTCAGAGGCAGTGTCTCACCAAAGTTGAGGTCGCGCGGATCTTCACACATTCTATTATAGGGACCTCTAAAAAGGCCATTGCAACAAGTCCCACTCAATTTGACCCCCTCCACGCTGAGAAGAATTCGCTCAAAGTGGTACGCGGGGAGCGACTTGGTACGCGCGGACGACTCCTACGGTCTCCCCCCTTACGCATTTGAACATGTCCCTCCACTTGGCATCCACCTCCCCTCTGTTGCTGCCACTGTGGCTGAGGCTGAAGTCGGAAGGTACTACTCGTCCAGTTGCTTCCGCAGAGCCTCCAGAAAACGGGGTTTTTAGGAACTTCGTGCTATCTTAAGCCCATGCAGTGCTAGAAAGGGTCCGACAGGCATGCAAATTGCAAAAATCTCAACAACTAAATTTTGGTGACACACTGCCTTCAATAAGAATCATGTTTCGATTCGCAGAAATTTCAAAAGCTTTTGTGTATTTGCTGCAGTTGCGTGTTTCATGACTTTGCCAAAAATCGAGACTTCCGAAACAATTTTTTGAAGTTGAAAACAGCAGAAGAATATTTCCTTGTAGCCCGAGAATTGCTCTGTTTTAGCCATGCTTAACCTTCTCCGAAACTTTGGAATGAAATTTTTGAAAATTAACCCAACTATGAGCAGATAAAATTGACGGGTGGAGAAATTTGGCAATTATCAAAAAAAAAAGATTGTGGCACTTACAAGGCTGTGGCACGAAAATGTA